GCCGTTGAGCATGATGTACCCCAATGCCCGTTCGTCGGGTTGATATCATTTCTGCGAGCGAGTTGCCCGGATTGCAGGACTACGCGATACACGATTCCATGTGTGGAGTGTTGGTCTCGAGGCCCTCCTCTGAAATGCAGGAAGCGTGAAAATGTGCATCTTGTGCGGTTCCTACATCATTCGTATTGACAAATGGGGACCCTACTGCTGTACGCGATTGTTGGTGTGCATGTCCTCGGCACCGGCAAGAGCGAAGCCGTTACGCAGCTTCTGCTTATCGCACTCGCAATGGTGCGAAAGTGCCGGACAATGTGGAGAGGGAGGGAGCAAAAAGTGTGGGGTTTTGGTTCTGTTTGGGGCGGGGCGGATTGTTTTCATGCCTCGCCTTGGTGCTGGGTATATTGTTTGGTTGAGACCCGACTGTGTTTGCTAGGATATGCTTTTAGCGCGACGAATAGCTGTGGTCTGAAAGTGAATCAAGCAACATAGCACCGTTTGTATAAGGCGGCATGGAGAGCTCACGTAGCCCGTGTGCAGCAGCATGAGCTTTGGTTCTGAAAGGGGCTTGCTATTCCCTGGGTTGGACTTGGAGCGTGGCAGTTCTATGGCCTGGTTGATCGAACGTTCACGTCTACTCTGTCTTCAACAAGTACGTACGTGTTGACCATCTGTTACAGCATGATGTGTCCTCCACTTAAAAGATCGCACGGCGCTGATTGCTCGAATTTATTGCGTCGGTGGCCCTCTCCGTTATGTAAAGCTTAAGGATGGATGTCTCGAAAAATTGCTGTTCCCGTGAACCCCCTCCCAATGCATCTGCAACTGTCGAGCTCTGCGCGACCTTGTATTCGTCTACTTGCTGGCCGCAGCCCATGCAAAGCACCGCCTATAATTTCCTGTGGTGCAGCAACTGCAGCAGCACCCTGTGCTGTTCTTCGTTGTTGGTGTACCACCGCGCTACAGACTTTTCCCTTGTCTGGCGCATCACTTCCCCCTCGTCCCTGAATCCAACGGGCGCAGACCGCAGGGGTTTTTTTTACCCTGGGGTGTTCCAGTTCTCCCTGGAGCTGTCGCGATATGGCGTGCCTTCTTGGCAAGATCCCCTGTCGGTCGCTGTGCTAACAGCACGAGCTAGAGAGTTTTTGTTCGCGTTAGAAATCGGCGACACCCACGAAATTACGAGGGAGTTCCGCCAATGCGGGGAGCGCAACGGAATCACCAAGTGGGGGCGAGGACCCGTGCTCTACGGCAGCGTGAAGGAATGGGTATGTCCTAGCCGAAAGAGCGAGAGGAAGGCCAGGAATTTCGGTGTTTTGCTGGAGGACGATGGGCAGGGGGGTCGTGGCAGGCCAAGCGGGGCTGAGGGTGGCTACATTTTCATCGGCGATACCGGAGAAGGAGACCCCCGCGCGGGAGAGATCATGAGCACCAAGCACCCGGACCGGATGCGAGCGGTGTTCCTTCACGTGGTGAGCGATGGCCCCCAACAGGGGAAGGTACCCGTGCCGACGGATCGGGTGGTGAACGGAGTGCCTGTGGTGTACTTCCGAACCTACGTCGGTGCAGCGGTCAAGGCCGTGGAGCTCGGGCTGATGGACAAGAAGGGGCTAGAAAACGTCATCACCGCAGCAAAGGAGGTGCGTTAGATTGTTCAGAAAACGTTTCCTTCGAGAATCACCAGGTAGAAATCTCGAAAACCGTGAGGCCGGTAGGATCAGGACTTTCATTCCTCGGCGAGGCGTGCATGTTTGCACCAAGTACGTAGTACGGNATTGACCTCGCATCCCTACAAAGCCGGGACGGAGCACGCCGGGTTCTCACCGGACCAGGCTCTCACATCACCAAGCGCGAAGCGCCGTGAGATATTCGGCGAGTCGCATGAAGGGTGCGCTTCATCCTGCTAAGGGTGTTCGGCATCTTGTGCTTACTTCCTTGCGTACGGATGACAGCTGCGTATGAATTAATTTATTTTCTGGTGCTTTCACTTCCAGAGACAGTTGTAAGCACTGTGTAACTGCCTCGAGGGTGCTTGACCATTGTAATACAACGTGGTGCGATCATCCCCCGTGAGGGTTCTCGACCCCGCACAACATGATCTGCTCGACCACCACTATGGTAACCGCCAAAAAAAATANCAGAGACAGTTGTTGGCACTGTGTAACTGCCTCGAGGGTGCTTGACCATTGTAATACAACGTGGTGCGATCATCCCCCTTGCGCGGAGTGAGGGTTCTCCACCCCGCACAACATGATCTACTCGACCACCATTATGGTTACCGCCAAAAAAAAAAACGGAGGTAAAAAAAAAAAAAACGGTAACCTGGTTGCCGAGTTCACGAAGTGAATTGGCTTGTTTTACAACGTCGTTGCCAAGCGACGAAAACCCAACCCCGATGGCAAACACCCGGGGGCGGCGGCTTGTTTTACAACGTCGTTGCCAAGCGACGAAAACCCAACCCCGATGGCAAGCACCGAGGGGGGGAGGCGGCTTGTTTCACAACGTCCTTGCCAAGCGACGAAAACCCAACCCCGATGGCAAGCACCAGGGGTAGCGGGGAATAGCGGCTAAATCCTTCTCACGTGAGTTTAAGAAGCACCGCCGAGAATTTCTTGTGTGTGTGAATTTGGGCCCGAGGTCTGCAGGTGTAGAGCGGCAAAAGGCGCCAGGGTAGTTAAAGGCCGACTGTGAGCGGCCCTGAGAAATGGCGAGGGAACACGAATACATCCTTGGTGAGGACCTGGCCTCCTTCGGTAGGCGACGTGGCTCAATTCAGTGTTCCCAGGGTCGTGGTGTCGTGGTGGATTTGACCCGCTGTCAAGGGAAGGCAAGGCAAGGTTTCTTCCGTGAGAATGACAGTAGGCATGGAGAGAGGCCAATAGGAGAGTTGGCTGAGCGGGGAATTGACGGGGGTCAGCATGTACACACCAACAGGTGGGAATTTGTCGAGCAGTCACCCGCCAGTGGTGTCCCGACCTCCCCTGGTTGTCGGCATGTTCTGTGTACATTCTCTTGCTATACCGTTGAGTGTGTCGAGTATGGATACCGCCGTCCCATATGCCATGGTATCGCTCGTCCATATTGATTCCTCTGCGCTTGGCAGCACTTGGATGGGATGGTTGTAACTTCGGGGATGGCCGGGCTGCCGCGGATAGCATGTGCGGTGCAGGCTGAACATGCCAACGTCTTCGCTGCGTCAGCGCTTTGTCTCCTCTCTTCAGCAATGGTGTTGGTTGGTGTCAGGAGAAAAAGAGTTGTTGGTTCGCTGGGGAAAACACCGCGCCTACGAAAGCCCCACCGCCTAGATCCGCCCTTGCTAATAGCATCCCTTGTCCTGCAGCGCTTTTTCTCATGCTTCGTGACCATGGAGAGTCAAATCATTGTCCATGTCTCTGTGCCCCCCTGCATGTCTAGGCTATGACCAAGGTGCCCCGGCAGTCCTCGAAGTGGGAAGACATCAATCGTGATCTCATGATGGCGCAGACGGCAGAGCCCCAGCTGCCTTCCATAGGAGTGAAAACTCTCACCTCAGCGCTAGAGGATGGGTTGGGGTCGAAAATAAACACGAAGCGGAACGGTGCTGCTAGACGGCGACTCCCTGTTACCACGGCAGCTACGAAGAAACGACCGTAATCATCCATATATCTTGAGAGTGAGAGACGATGAATGTATGCTGTTGATGTTTCGAGACACATTATTTTTGATACGTAGCAAACCGGGATGGCGAGGAATACAGTTGGTCTAGCTGTTTGGTTGGTGGCTATATCTCTTTAATAAAAAGCTGTGTGATAGGTTCCTGGATGGCGTGGGTGTGTTGATAGCGGGGCTTCTTCGGTGCCGTTTCGGTGATAACTGCTCGTGGTTCCCGTGAAGGAAAAGAAGCCGTCTGTTTGATACTGTAACAGTCGTATTGGCGAGAATGATCAATTGATGTAGGTCCTTCATGTCCTGTGCGAGTTGGCAGCTGCCATTCCATTCTGTGGATAGTGTCCCGTCCCTTTGTTTCTATTTACACGAATTTCAGCATGATTCAGTACCTCGCGCGTGTCTTGCTTACCCTGCTGCTTCGGCGCGTGGTCTTGCTCAATGCAGTTGATGAGCAACGTCGTTCAAGTACTATTTGCGTGTGTACATGCTTGAGAGCTATGCAGTGCGGCTGTCCATGATCCATTCCTTGATATGTTCAAGGGACACGGGATTATCGGTATTGTATGTAGACGCTGTACCTCGGCGGTTGGACTTAGCTTTCTTCGCTTCGTCGTCCCGCGTGAGAGTGCATGCTGGTGGGCACAACTCGTTATGCAGCGGCAGTCGCAGCAAGCTACTGTCAAGGTGTGGTTTGTCCTACCAGTTCAATGTATATCTTCTTCCCACTCCTGCACCGATGATCGTGCCGGCGGGCATAGATTGGATGATCGTTTCGTCAACCGCCGAGCTTCTTCCACGAACTTGCAGTCGGCGGGACCGAACTTGGCTCCTCCCTGTCGTGCCACCTTCATCTACAACACAGAGATCGTTGCATCGTTGAAAGTCTGTCGTCGAGCGATGCTACGGTAGGAGGGACACTTTTTAAGACATGGGTCACATGCTGTCGCCCGACAAGGTCCATATAAATGCTCGTAACTCTCTCAATTTTTGCATTTCAAGGAAATCAATTCTGCCCAGGCAACCGCCTGGCGTATATCTCGCGGTGTGCAAAACAATAAGCATTTTTTCCATTGGTTGAGGCAGTACACACCAGTCCGCCAAAACACTCCCATGTGACCGAGGGGTACTCCCTATCGTAGCATCCCTCCGTCTTGGCGCACACAAGAGGAAGGGGCGGGGCTGCCCTGTTGTGTGCAACAAAGGCGTTGCCCGTTCTAAAACAACCTGCACGTGGGCCCAACACGCAAAGCTTGAATTCACCATCATCATCGTGTGTTTTCCACAGACGATTGATCATGTCGTTCGATGCAGAGCATCAAAAGGATAACATTCACGACCACTTTGTTGCGGAACCTCTACAGAAACTCCCGAGCACATGCAGCAAGAATCCACGCGGCGTCGACGCCTGAAGAATCGACGCCCTCTGCACTTGCGGTATTTGCTACCGAAGCAGCTACCGGCGGCTGCACCCCCTCCAGCACAGCAGCAGCCACTGACGACGGCACGGTTGACGGACTTCCTTCTGTTGCTCCTTCCGCTTTCAAAGAATCCTCGGGGGCTGGGCTCGACCTGCCCGTCTCAGCCACCTTGCCCATCTGTGTCCCTTCTTGCGGGATCGAAAGCAATGTCGCGGGCGTAATCTCCGACCCAGGGGGTCCCCGAACATCGCGGGCCTGTTCGATGACGCTCGCCGGTTCACCAAGGATCCGCAACACTTCGTGCTCCAGCTGCGCTTGCATCTCCTCCGAGTGCTCCCTCGGACACAGCATTACCTCCTTGCGGTACAGCGCCCTACCTCCGTCCCTCTCGGCGCTGTCCGAAACCCCACCTCCCTCGTCCAGCGAGCCCCTCGCTCCGTGTCCCTGGTGCACGGCGTTGCGAGCGTCGAGATGGAAGCACGGAGCGATCGGAAGCTTTCCGTCGAACCACGAGGAAGGGAAACTGCCGAGCAAGCGATATTTGTCTCGCAGCCAGCCCAAGCCGCAACTGGGGTAGTGGAGCACGCACGGGTCGCTGCATTCCAGCACCTCGTCGAAGCGCAACTCGCGGGGGTCCGCCATCGCAACACGGTTGACAAGCTGGTCAGGGCCACTGCCCGACAACGACGGCGATGTCGATGCCGCTGGGACCCCGCCGCCCTCGTCCTCACCTTGCGTTTGCAGCCCGTCCCCGCACGATTCACCTCTTGCGCTTCCGTTGGTGGTCGCTGCTGCGACACCCTCGCCCCTACCTTCGCCCGGAACCCCCAGCTTGTGGCCGTATACTGGGAGGTAAGACTTATGATCAGTTTCCTCCTCACTGCCGGCCTTGCTGGAGCAGCGGGCGCCTCTCTCTCCAGGCTTGAGGGTCCTCCAGCGGTGAACGCTCTGCGGCACTACTCTGTCAGGCAGCACCCTGACAGCGCTCTTTCCATTATCGTAGGCCAGCATGTATTGCCCGTGGTTGGTGCGCCGGCGCCAGAAGCGTGTTCTCTCGGCCACCTCGTGGGAGAGCGGCAGGAGAAGGTGGTTGACCTTGAAGGTGCTCACCTCGCGAAAGTAGTCGGCCACTTCCTCTCGCAATGGCACGGCTTCGTGGTTCGCGTAGGTCATCTGCTCGACGCCTAGCTCGTTGAGGCGATCGAAGTGTGGCCGGACGGACGGCTCTGAGGTGAAGAAGAGCTGTTTCGAGTACCCGCGCAAGGTCCGCGCAAACGGCGCAGCATGATGGGGTTATGGCGCGGAATGCGGGTTACCACGATGGGCGTTCCTGAAAGCGTTTTGGCGGCTCTTTTGACCGGCTAGTATAATTGTGTGTCCACTACTGGCATAAGAATGACGTTGAACCTCTCTCACAAGAAAAGGGCAGAAAACTGATACACCTATCACGAAGACGTACAGCAGTCAAAGTAACCGAAAATAAATGCCTCCTCAGGTGAAATACTGTTGGATCGCGGCGAAGTGGTCACCTCGTCAATGTCGAGATGCAACAGCCAATCCAACCCCATTGTGCTCGCTCTCTGTAGGGCATCCTCCGCGTTGAGGCTCTGCCTAGCAGGCACCTCCGTGGCGCTGAACGACCCCAGCTCGCCCCAAAGCCGACACCTATCTTGCTGCCGTTTTCTCTATTGTGGGAGAGAATGAGAACCAAGCATAGTAACATAAGCAACGCGATTCTAGCCAAAGGTTTTGGTCCACGTAGCAAATGAACGATACCAGACACTCTTAAACAGATAAACGTATTCATGGTGAGTACTTTGGGCACCATGTACACCGCGATTTGATCCACGTCGAAACATGAGGTGCTGATTTTGCGGCTTTCGATCTCAGGTAAGGAACAAACGCCAAACCAAGCGCCGCCTCGTCATGTTAAGGGGCGACGGTCTTGCTTGCGCTGACAATACCATAGTAGTGTTCGGCGGCCAACAACACAACCAACACCCTCATATAGGTAGTGCCACCGCACAAGGATACACTGAACACCCAAATACATCGAGACACTGCTGTAATCGGTTTGGTTGTGTCGTCAAGAATTGGCAAATAAATACCTCCGGTCGCTCGAATAAATCAAATAGCGAGAACCGCAACCAACGGCGGCTCTGTGCACACACCCTGTTCTGATGACAAGGCGAATCTCTATTTTCGTTGACACGTACATGCGCATATTTCTCTCACACGATATCTCTCCCTGCAGTTAAGCCTCACCTGCGATTCGTTCCGAACTTCGATGCTGACCTGTGACGGGTTGAAAATTGCAGCGACTCTCTCTGCCGGTATGCGTACGCAGTGACAAACCAAAAGGTAGGGTGACTCAGAAGGCTTCTACTGATGCCTTGAGGCGGCTTGAGACGCTCACAAAGAGAAAACTGAGCCCACGGTAACCCAAAATCGTCGATATCGTTGTCAGCGCAACACTCAAGCGGACGGTCCACGTTTATTTGTTTGCCGCAGATTGCCTACAATTCCGCTATAAGAGCAGTGTCTCCTACCCAGGCGTTACCTGCCTCTCCACATAAATTCATCGTTTGAACACCGCACCCGTTCCGAAGTGTCATTGTGTGGAAGTAGACAACACTCAGGGACATCTCGAGCACATCCAACGCCATCCGTAACGGCGTAGACTACCTATGTAGGGGTCGTTGCTGCCGTCGTTTGCGTCCGCGTAGAGGAACACGTGTTCGATTCCCTTGGCCAGGTGGAACAACAGGAAGGACTCCAGTGTCGACCAGCACCTCTCGAACCGATCGATGGTTTCCTGGCCCCCATCGTGAGGTACAAACGGGACGAAACGAAAGGTGGTGACTAGACCAACCCTCGACATGACCTGACGTAGAGCGTGAAGTGTTGCCAAGCCGGCAAGAGAAGGGGCGATGTAATCTAGCTAGCGCGTCGTGAACACATTGAAAGGATAGTGTGTGTGCCCTGGGGTAACATGGAATGAATTCTACCCTGTGTAATCCACCAGACATGGTTGACTACTGCTGTACATAGTGTACACAGTGTAGGCCACAAATTATCTACAGCAATTGTGGGGATCCCAGCATGTTTATGTAGGAGCTGTTGAGCAATAATTTTATCTACTACAAACAATGTACACATAATGTATGCTCGACACCTTGACCAACATCAAGAGTGCAGATCAAGGGCAATACCGAACGGGCGTGTTTCGAACAGCTCTCTAACGATATTAGTAGCAGTACAAAGTCTTGAATTCCACCTGTGGAGGTCAGGATATGGAATATTCATGAAGAGCAACTTTCCACACCACCCCACTTCGCTCGGTTCTGCTTGGCATTGCTCGCCACATTGCACCAAAGGAAACAGCCAGCCTCCGGTGGCAAGTCAGATACAAGCCACCAGAGAGCTTACACCCCACATGTCAAAACCACATTGAGGGTGGCGCGTTCAATACATGGGCATGTTACAACAGTGTCGATGCTCGAAGCCGGTTCGAACTTGTGTAACGTCCTGCTCGCGACTTGGGACTCGGGACATGTGGATGGGACAAAATGAGCCTCGGACGTGAGGCGAGGCATTTATTTGTGGTATGCATCTCATCTGTCTCACTTACACGTGCCTGAATTATGCAGTCCTTCCTGTCCTTTACGTAACTCCAGAAGAGATCTCTCCAGCCCAAACTAGTGCTCCAGACAAGCTCCAGACATCTCTTCAACCACCGGCCACAACGCCACAACGCCACAGCGCTGCGTAACAGAGAAAGATGAGACAGCAGCGGAGCAGAGCTGGAGCAGAGGGACTGTAAGAGTGGACAGTCCCGTGTGCAACGCAGACCGCATCATTACAACCGAGATACATTACCATCATTGTGATTTGGCGGTGCCCCTGCAACGTTCCAGTTCCACAGTCCCGGCCTGCGTGCGACCCTCTTCCTCGTACATACCTGTCTATTATTAATGGTCCAGGACAAGGACACTACCGAAGCACCATGGAGCTACCGGGGGTCCCAGTGAGGGGGATGACGGCAGGACAAGGGCCGTCATTTGTGGTGCGATTCACAGGTACAACAGAGAAACGAAGGCGGCATTCACGCACGAGTATTTTTGTTGAATGCGAGTGCGACGGCTGTCCCGACCGCATGACATATTTGACATAGTAGACGGAAGAACAGCGCCCCATGTACCAGGCCGTTGTGGATTCCTCCATACACTTTAGTTCTCGTGGCTACACGGGACGTCCCTGTCGCCCTCTCACTTGTTCGCTGCCTTCTCTGTTTTTGCCTTGTCTCTCAGGCGATGGGAAGTACTGCCTCGTGGCAGGCCAAGATCGCACCGTCCGGCTCTATAACCCGCACCGTGCTGACCCAGACAAGGAAGGGACAACCAAAGCGGGAGAGCTCGAGCAAGCCCTCCTTGTCAAGAGCTATGCAGGGCCCCATGGGTGAGCAGGGTATTGTATCCACCCGTCAGGATCTCGTACTGCTGTTGCATGATGACGTCCGGGATATGGATGAGCATCGCCTTATGCGAACATTACTGCTGTACCCTACTGCGCTGTCAGCGCTCGTGGTAGCGCCACATCCAAGGCTCTCTCTCTCTGTGTCTTACGTTCCACTCCCCCCCCCTCCCCCCTGTCTCAACCGCCTTACCCTCCCCCTCCCCCCCCCCNNNTCCCCCCTGTCTCAACCGCCTTCCCCCCCCCCTCCCCCCCCGTCCTTCGCGTTGCCGGGTTGCTGTACACCCGCCGTCGTGTTTTCTTCGCGGGGGTACGATCGGGATGCGGCATCGTCCACCGTTGTCTATGATCGCACGCGATGCGGGTGAAACTTGAGCCGCCCTCTTGACTTGAATTGACAAGGTACGAGGTGTTGGACGTTGCAGTATTGGCGGACAACTCCCGCTTCGTGTCGTGCGGCGAGGACAAGGCGGCCTTCTTGTGGGATGTCAGCACGGGTGCCGTTGTTCGGAGGATACAGGGCCACGAGCAGCGCATAAATTCTTGCTGCTTCGGTGCCGAGGGCAGCGTGCTCTTCACCGCATCGTACGACAAGGTACGACAAACACGCTCACTCATGCGTTGTCTCGCTCTAAGTATGGCTTACCGGCCATGTGTTATGGGTGACGTTTATCTCTGCATGCAGGGGGGAGGGGGCGCGACGCTTTACAACAATTTGCCGTCGAGTCTAGCTTGTCGCCCTGCAGCAAAGTTCCCACTGCAGAATAAACTTTTTCCCTCCTACCTCACACGCTACACGATCGCAGACGGTCCGAGCGTGGGACATGCGCTCCAGAAACCGCTCTCCGATACAGACCCTCGAGGGCTGCAAAGACAGTGCCACCTCCGTGTGCACAACTCCCTCGGGGGACGAGGTGGTGGTGGGCTGCGTGGACGGGAAGGTCCGCACGTACGACTTGCGCGGCGCGCGGGTCCACGAGGACGATGTCCACGCCCCGGTGACGCACGCCAGCGTGTCTCACGATGGGAACTGCCTGCTGGTCACGTGCCTGGGTGGCGTCGTGCGGCTGCTCGAGAAGTCTTCGGGGTCTCAGCTCAACACGTACACCGGGTGAGAGGGCTGAAGGCGACGCCGCGAGACGCTCGCAACGCGTTTTTGAACCAGGCTGTTTCAGGATATCTTGGGCGTGGGCTACGTGTTGTGTGTGTGTCGCACGCGAGCCGCGGGTGTGCGGGGTCGCACGGCCAGGGTCACTTCTCTTTTTGTCACTCTCCTGAAACAGGAGGAGGAAGGGGGCTGTTGATGGTGATTCAAGACCATTTTTTCTGTACAGTGCGGGGCCCTCAATAACGGGTGTGTGCCTGGCGCATCGACCGGCGCTATTCGATGTACAGCATTACCTGGTGATTCAGTCTCTGCCCAGCAATTTCACCGGCGCTACTCGAGGCCACCGGCGCTACACTTGGTATCAACCGGCGTTGTGTTGTTGTCGCCCCCCCACTGTATCCTTGTTTGTGTGCAGGCATCTACACAAGAGCTACCGGATGGAGAGCTGGCTTGCCAACACCGACGCGCATGTGATCAGCGTGAGTCCTTCCTTCCCAACAAGCTTTTCTTGGCCTTTGCTCCACCTTGCACACCCGGGTAATTACCTCGCAGTTTGTCCCGCCCCGCGTTGCAACCCACCCATGCTCTTTCTTTTCGAATTTCGACCACTTTTACAACTACCCCTCTGCGGGTCGCCTTGCCTTTGCCTTGTTGCACCACCTACTTGCCGTGCGGCACGTCTGTCTCTGGTTGTCGCCACCGGTTGCTGCATCGGGCGGGATGTAGCACACCATACCCCTCGATTACTAACCCCATCAACCGCTCGCAGGGTTCCGAGGAGGGGCACGTGTACATTTGGGATATCGTGGAGGGCAAGGTGACGAGGAGACTCGAACAACACCGCCGTCCCGTGTGCAGCATGTCCTACCACCCCAGCGAATCTATGCTCCTCACGGCGTCCTACGATGGTTCGGCGGTGCTTTGGGCTCCATAGGCAAAAGACGTTGTCAATAGATCGAGTGTGGTGTGATGGTGGCCACGTGTCCATCGTGTCAAAGTCCGTCGTGCTGGGGCCTAGTGTGTGCATTGTCGACGGAGAGAGCCAGACTGATGTTCGTGGTTCCTGTGAAGTGCGAGTAAAGCTCTCTTCTCCGTCTCTGCTGCGCTTCGCTCCCTTCTAGCGGTATGCATAGTACTGTGTGTGCTGCCCGCAAACAGACACGGGTTTGGTTTGGCGTGTTCGTTGAGAGAACCGTACCCTCAACACTTGGTGGCAAGACCGCCTTGGATTTCTCGTCATTTTGCGGCGGGATTGCGTCATCGAAGACTGGTTGGGTTTTTGGTGGGGGCTACACTGCAGACTCTCCACTAACCATCAACCGCAACTCCCTCACACTTACCCTTACGGCTTCCCTTGGCCTTGGGGTTCTCTTCTCCTGTCTGACTGCGGCGCTCTTTCGCTTTGGTACGAACGACAGGTCCATGAGCTCGTCTTCGTCGTCGCGAGTGTTGTATCTGCAGCTCGACTGGGTTATTTCCACGCCATGTTGCTGTGTAAGGTTGTCGCCCATGGTGTTAGCTCACGACAACAGTCGGCAGAACATTGTCTACTCTAGGCATATCTACTCCGAGAACACAAGAGAAAAGGCGCAGAAATCCCCACCAAGTAGCACGAACGCGGTCATCACGAAAACGCTTTCTACGCCAGGTTCGGCATGTTGGGTGCAGAAATGTTGTATCTTTTAATTCACCGTTGGATGTGCACTTTCTCCTACTAACCAACAACAGTTGTTCTCCTTCCTGAGCAGTGAGCGGCAAAACCAAATGATGACTCTCAACTTCCCGCGACTACTGGCCTACAAACATTTGTATCGAATCTATGAAGGAGCAAGGACTTTTATCATACTAGGGTCGTTGTGGCAACGGCGCAACCGAAGTTGTCTGGAGGCACGACACATCTGTGAATCAAACCGCCATATTCGCAATGCAAGCTCCTTCAGAGGCTACCTCATGGGATCTAGACCCTTATTGACCATATCCGACATCACAGCCGGCGCTGTTTCTTCAAACTATCGACCAACCGTTCATCACACCCCAGACGGAAATCGCCGCGCCACCTAGAGCAGGATTCAGGACTTTTTGCCTGCGCTGCTCCAGCATCTGCTCAACAAAACATGACGAAAAGCATTCACGAAACACAAATCACCTCAGTCTACGAACCTCTGCTGCCAGAGAGTAGCGTCTCTCCCACCCCAGCCTCTAAAGATGGAAATGAGAGCATGTAGTTTCCTTGCTGCTGCGGTTGCATACCCGATATATACACCCAAACCCTCACATTTTTTGCCGAACACGGGAACATGACTGGTTCAACACAGCCCGCATCCACAACCACACGACCACGGTCCTCAGGCCACCTCGTCACCTCTACAAAGCCATCAAAATTTCCGCCCGGTCCGCAGAGAGAGAGAGTTCTTGGACCAACCGCTAAGCGCTAGTGGATGGTACGAACGAAAGTCCCGCGCAGGCAAAAGGGTAACCATGCCTACCCTCTGTTACACTTGCGTGTCCATCTCCTACGGGGGTCATTCTGTGTGCTCGTTGTTTTTTGTTCTGGCTTCCAGGCTTCCAGCCAAACGCAGTAATTTTATCTTTACTCTTACTCAAAAACGGGGCCGTCAATCTCCCCCAATCCCAAGCGAGCCCTTAGAGTCTGCGGGGGTGCCACCCGCCAATTCGCCTTCCCAACCCACGTATTGTAGTATACACGCACGCTGTCTGCGCGAATGCAACCACAACAACGTAAAAGTAGCTTCCAAATTCTCTTGCCCCCCCCCGCGCGGGGATCCACGCCATGTTCGCAAAAAATGTCCACGTAGCACGTATTCAATACTCAATGCACAACGGCCAAGAGGGGCGCAAACACGTGCGCGTACCGCTCTCAAAGGGATCACACGTACAATTGTCGGAGGCTCGAGGTTATCTCTGTCCCGGCTGCTCTTCTTGTGCTACGTTCCCATGCGTAGGGGGTGCAGAGAAACCAAGAACCGAAACCACCACCCCAGAAGGTCTCACGAGCTATCTTTGGTCACCAAGACTCATGTACACAATGACAAACGCGTTTTTGATGTATACAACCCATAGTCGTGACTGAGTTCTTGGGATGGTACGTCAAATGTCACAAACAAAACGCACGCCATAAAAGCCTTGACATGACCGGCCGGCGCAACTGCCTGCTTCTCAGGTCGGGGACCGTAAAACTTTCCAACGTCTCCGCTCGCTCGACATCCTGGTACCACGGCCGCGCGGCGAAACTACCCATGCATACAAAGCCCGTTGCCTTCCCGTCCTTCGAGCCTTCCACACAGGTGCAGGCTAGCGGGTGCAGTCTGTCTCACTCTTCGGCAGGCATTCTGCCGGCAAGCCCACGTGAGCGGGGCACGTTCCCCTGCCCCGCCAACAAACTCGGCGAAACCTGGCCTCCGCGCCCGGCCGCGCCCATAGGTGCCAAGGAGAAACATGCTTTCGGCGCCTCCGTCCAAGTCACTACGGCCCAGCAGCAACAGCAGGCAGCAAGCAGCTCCAATAGTGTCGGGCTCGGTGGCGCCCTAAATAATTCCCAACAACCGATGGACTGATCGCTTTTAACGGTGTACCACCTCACCCTTCTTTTCCGTCTTCTTCGCCACAGGAGTGCCGCCCAGACCGCCTTCGTCCCCCTTGGGCATGGTCGAACCACTTGCCATAGCGGGCACCATTTCGCCTTCCGCAGGATCGGCCTGGCGGTCCCCGTTGGCCACCGTGGACAAGATGGTCACCCAGATGATCTCCATGCAGTCGATGAACAGAAGCTTGAGGTCCTTGGGGATAGCGTTGCTGAAGGAGCAGCAGTGTATCAAGGGCCAGAACCGCCAGCTGGAGGTCAAGGCTGGCCACGCCTTGCTCTTCACCTCACCCCAAACCTGGTTGTGTTAGCGGATATACAGGAGCAGATAGATGCTGTTGCTATGCCAAGTGTTGGGCGCCATCTCGCGAAGAGCTAGACATGAACTTGAAGCGGTAAAACCAAGCGCAGAGAAAGGGAAAAAGCGCAACGGGCACTTGCTGCTCAAAAAAGCTTCGGATACCTCCACTATCGTCCATCTCGTCTCGAAGCTGATACTCCCGACCGTGAGCCATAGCTTTCGGTCAAGGGTTGGGTTTTAGAGTTGGGGCAATCGAGCGGTACTCACTTCTTCCTTCGGCAACCCCTGCAGACTCATGATCATCGTCGAGTACGCCGCGTTCAGGAACACGGACCACACAGTCTGGTCCGCGATCACCTTGGGGATGAAATTCCACCACGCCCCATCGAAATCCTGTTGAGTGTCATAGGCCGGCAAAGGAACGAGGGTGCGAAGGTAAAAACGTTCAACCTAGGTCGACATCAAGGGCAGAGCGACAGAGAGAGGTGCGCCGTGTCTCGTCTGGGGCAACGAAGATCGAGACAAAAGCATGAGTCATTTGCACCGAATTTTGCCAGGTGCAAAGGCTGAGGGTAAAGAACATCCTCTGACCCGGTAGTCTAGACGGCATCCGAACCAGAGGGGGCGTGAGATCATGTCTATCACGTCTACCATGTCTCGACTGTCAACAGACATCGAGGCAAGCTGTAGCTCTTGCGACCACCACATGGACCACGACGGCGCAGTTCAGTTAGAACTCCCTCCAAAGCTCGACCGTGGTACCGTCGAAACGTTGAACCTTTTCAAAATTCTACTCTACAGGCTACAGCAAAAGCGCACGACTCGCACGAACAGTACTACTCACCAAATAGGTCTGCATGAGCTCGATCCAGAAGTGGCACAGAGGGCCATGGATGAGGAGGCCAGCTGTCGCCGACCGTGCCGTCCGCATCAAGTCCATATTTTCGAGGGTCTTGCCCTGCGCAACACCATGGTGACGTCATGCAGCGCAGCAGCAGTGGCATCGAAGCGATTAACAACTACTGGACAGGACGTTACACGTCCAACCCACTCCGGGATTGTCGACAGTCTCAAGGGCAGGCGGGATACTCTACGTTCTTCGTCCTCAAGGTGTTTCTCTAGTGTTGGGTGCACGACAAGCGGTACATATTTAGGAAAATAAATACGCTCACAGAAAGACTACCCATTCGAGATAGAGCCCGTAACAAATTGTAGGGACAAATTGTAACGAAGCCATCAGAACAAACCAAAGACCTATTTTCATACTACGAAGCCAGTGTGGTGTTTGTGGCGGTCAGCGGCAGCACTGTCCGTGGAAAAAGAAGAGCAGACGTTCGATTCTCTCTTCTACCGGCACGGAATGATTGATTACCGTGAAGAGCTGCGCCGTGAAATCGCCCAAGCCGTACGCCACGCAAGAGGTGAGGGCCTTCGTGACGATGGGGCTCTCCGAAACTGTCGCCTCGTAACGGTAAAAATTATCCCCGGGTACCCTGATGACCGGACGCACGCGGGGGCGTAGAAAAATTCCGACGTCACATAACGAAGCAGATGAACCGTGTCTGCGCATGAGCTCGGCGTGTTGAAGTTGCTCTGTCTTCTCTCTTGCTGTTGGCCAAGCTTGTGCTGACGCGATCCTCCTTCCCTCCCCACTATAAGTACGGGATGGAAGACATGCTCCGTAGACGATAAAAAACAACAATCTACTACATTATATCTACTGTGGTCTAGTCTAGACCTACGCGGAAGAGGGTTCCTGAAGCCAGCGCGAGAGCGTAAAAACAGCAAAAGTACGACGGTGTTCGGCCAGCCTGCATGATGTGATACGGTATGAACTACTCGAGTACGAAACACGGACGTACCGCAGGAGAACAACTTTGTGTACGAGGGCCAACGCATCTCATCTGGAAATCATCTCATCGAACGGGTAGTCTTAGCGCCATGGGTATAAAACAAGTGCAAGCTTCTTAATCAACCAGTTACAATCCACACAACATTGACCAACGCACTTACCGGAGCAGTACCTCGTACCACGTCCACCCTCTCGCGATGTCGCCGTCGACGGTGGCCAGCTTGAACGCCGCAAATGCCGCGAAGAGGAACACCACGGCAGCGTTCATGAAGAAGGTGAGCTTCGCCGGGTCCTTGTTGATCTGCGAGAGCTTCTTCTGCCATTCCGCCGGAAGCGCGCCTTGAAGCGGGGCTGGCATGAAGGGCTCGACCTCCTCGTCGCCCTCCTGCTCGACATAGAGTGGAAATGCCAAGCAAAGTAGAGGTTATGCACACAGTACGGGAGCGATGAGTGCGATCTCCTCTCGTATGCGTATGCATCGTAAAACAGACCCGTCTAGGATGGTTGTTCAGTATGCGGGTTTCTAGGAGTGAATCAGCCAGACGAGCTGTTCGGTCTCGACTTTAGTCTTCTGGTGCACTTTCAATGTCAGGTTTATCAGATCGAAAAACGCAGACGGGTTGAGAAATCATAAGACTGTTCACATACTATTTTCTCAACATTATACAACGAATCCATCTCTATCGTATACTATACTACTTCGTACAAGTAGAAATAGTTGAAGATAGAATGGTAATGAATCCATAGCCTCAGAGGAGGCCACCTGAAATTTCAAGATTTCCCGAGCAACACACCGTATCTGTAGTCTGTATGTTCACGCATGCGGCTGTGGCGTAAGTACATTAGTACTCTACGATCGGTGTGCTTCACAGCTAATGCTGTACACGAAATCTACAGCGGCCCATTTATTTTTGATGTGCATGCTTGCATACTTGCTGTAATTGCGCCGCACTAATGGCCGTGTCCGCTAGGGGCATGAGGGTTACCGATTTTTCGTCAGCTTGGGAGCACAAACGCACGCAAGTCAGGGGGTCAGGGGGAACAACGAAGAAAACCGGCGTCTTGAGGAGATAGGTTCACGTGCTGTAGGCCATATGCACCTGTTACGTGCAGCACCACCCCCGTGCACATCGCTTGCCCCCCAGGTCGAAGCCCTGCCTCATCTTCAATATGTCTTAGACTAGCCGGTCGCCCCGGCGATCTATTGTTGGTATCCTCGAAACCTTCTAGACGTCAGATCAGGCGTTCGAATCCGTCCATAAGCACCGCGTAGTACGGGTAGCTTAAGTTCGCAACCCGTCAAAGCGTTACGACCATTTTGACATGCACCCTCGTGTCTGCTTTCGGAAAGCAAGTCTATGTGGAAATCCTCTCCGAAATACTTCGACCATTATAGTGCTGCTGCTGCATCTTAAACAGACAAGAGGGCAACGCTACTTGTAACGCTAACGCTGCTGCACGGCAGCTGCTTGTTCTAGAAGTTAGATTTCTCACAGTCCCAGATTCAACAACTCAACAGCTGGGTGATGTGTCTAAGATCGAATTTCGGTCCACACCAGTACCGATGGCAGCAGAGCAACGCGTGTTCATGAGAGATGGGACGATGCAAATATTATAGGTGGGTCAACAGGGGCGAAGCCTGAGGTTGCGTTTTGGTACAAAAGAACATGGTGTTATTCTTCGTTGGAACTGGTCGAATGACTCGGGTGACGGGGACGGATTTGAATTACGCAATACTTGTCGTTCAATCTCGGCTCCTGTGAAACCCACGTAATCATTTTCATCCAGGCAACCTCCATCCAAACAAGACAGAGATGGAGAGCCCGCCGTCAACAACAACTCACAAGAGAACTGGACGCGTCCCCGGCATCTTCGACGGAAGCCATCATCGATAGCTTGCTAGTGCTGCTACCGCGGCCCCTTTGCCTGCTCCTTGCTGATCTCCCCCAAGCCGACGGCAATTCGAAGACAGAATGGGCAGCTGCCCCCGGCCCATACCCGTGGCTCCTGCGCTCTCGAACGTCAATCCGGCGGCCGCGTCCCGTGGAAGAAGCTGCCGATTGGTGGCTGGCGCGTGGTTGCGCAAGCCAAGACTGACCATGTGCTGGCGCAAACGCAAGGTGGTTGCTAGCGCCACGGCTTCTGCTGCTGCTGGTGAAAGCTTCTGCCGCGGTGTGCCTACAGCAGATGCTCGCTGCGATAAGGGCGGCGGCGGCCGCTCTGGTTGCTCGCTGCCTGGTAGGCACCATGGTACAAGAGCTCTGGTGCGATGTCACGCCTCGGTGCTCAGGCCAGCGCTGGCAGGCGTGGGAACTCTAGATGTGTGTCCGTAAACCTATGCTATATTTGTACCTGCTGCTGCTGCTCACGTTCTGCGTGTGTGTACGGAATGCGGAACCACGTCACCATCTGTTCGAGAACATGGGAAAAAAAAAATATCCTTCGGTTGACGGGGAGCTGCTGTAGTTGTAGGTAGTCGCGATCTCTCTGCCAGCCTGCCTCGCCTTTCTCCTGTGTTGTGTATTTTCGCCACATCTACGCCCGAAATGCCGTAAGAAACCCTTGTTGTTTGAGCCCGAGGGTCTTTTCTAGACTACATTTGTTTTTTCTCCCAGGGACGAGTAACTCCAACATCGGATTTAGTCTACAGTCATATAGACTATAATAGTCTCATAAGGTTGTAGTTCAACCGAGGGATCAAATCGACGATGCTTCGAAGAAGACAACCACCCGGGGGTGCGCGCCGTATACTTCAGTGTGTGCGCGCATGGCACACAGCAGTAAAACGTGGTCGGGGGGTTGACAATAGGTTGGTGTGAGAGGAGGTTTAGGTGGCGTGCAGAAACCAAACTACTGCTGTTGTCGTGCATCGTTTGGGCGGGGCACCGGCCCACCTATACAACGTACTTCGAAGTCAGTACTTGCTTGTCCGCGGAGACTGACTGTATTATTGATCCTACAGGCACCGAGGAGCTCCAAAACCTTCACCCAACACCCTCTCTGCGATATTTTATTTGCTCGTGACTTAGACTACACAGCCGAAGCACGAGAAGAGAGGACGAGATTGATTGCTGAACCTCCGTCGTGTTACTACTTCAGGGAGGGTCGATGCATCAATCAATGCATTGAAGACCAAAGCGAAAAACGAAGTTCTCTCGACGTACAGTGTAGCACGAAGTACTTAGTCTAGTATGTATGCATTCGCCGAGTAGTAGTTTGTCGCGGCGGCAAGACTAACAACGCGGAACGCCCGGCGTTTGTTTACGGTGCTTCAACGTTCGTTCGTACTAACAACCTGCAGTAGGGGCGATCGAAGCACGCTCTTCCAATGGGCGAGGGCCGGTAGCCACGATTGTGTAACGGACTCCAAAAAGATACCAAGATTTGAAGGTGGTATTACAACAACAACGATATGCGCTGCAAGTCAACTTGTGTCGTGGTCAAATACTAATTGCTGAAGTACCACCAACAGGTAGGTATTCCTTCGTTCGTAAGACAGATTCATTCGTAGACTCGCGGTCTGCTCGGTATATTTACAAGTTTGTAAGGTAAGCTCTCATCATCAGCGTTTGTTTCTCCGACAGTCTTTAGTTTCACTTCGTTGCGAGTCTTTGCGAAGCAATATGAGCCCCGCAAGTGAGTCAGGTGGTAGCCTTTCGCCATGCCCAAGCCCTCCTCGCTTCGAAGCCAAGCAATTCACAGCAGCAGAAATATGTTACGAGCATATGTGTCGTTTACTCCAACCCGTGGTCACGCAGGGAAAGGTTCCTCTCCCTGAGGCCCCTTGCCACCCTCCTCCTATTGTGCATGCTTTCGAATTCAAATGCGAGCAGTCGCGTCCACCAAGTGAAAAAGTTCCCTTTTGAAAGGGAATATAATTAGAGATAATGAATGTCCTCATACGATCTTGAATCAGTTACGTTGTTTGCCCCGAAATATTAATGCGAAAGTGAAGTCTCAAAAAGGCGCAGCAGGAGGTTCCACTGGCCGTAGCACTGTAACACCCCCCAAGCGTTTGTCGTTGCTATTGGTGTTGCCTCCACATCAAAAACCGTTCCGATCTCTCTGCCCCATACCTCCATCTGTCCTACCACGTGACGCGGTCGATTCCAGTGGTTCGAAGGCTCTCACTTACCCAAAAAGGATACACTGCACTAGAAAAATGGGTCCGCAGTGCAAAGAAATATCAGAGACAGATAGTCTGGAGCCGTCCACTCCCACCTACATGCTATAGTCTATGTAAAGTAAAGATAAAATTGGGAGTCAACGTAGGTTACCGACCGGATAGACAGGTACGTTCCCTGGTTCTTGGTGCGCCTACACTGCCGCCGGGGTGTGCCATGTCGGGTCGGGGAACGAACACGTCCGTCCTCCACAACGACAAAAATCAACAAAAAAAAAAACCATTATACGAGGGGGGGAAACCATGGACCCTACCGACGATTCTCGGTATTCCAGTAGGATAGCTGCAAAGAGGAAAGAAGGATAGCTGCAAAGAGGAAAGAGACGGACAGCTAGAACAGAAGCGAAAAAGGACTGCCGTGTTGAAAACAAAAATTGCAAAAAGAACCGACTGAACGCGCGATTCTCCCTGGGTTTGGCCACGCCGAGATTCAAACGTATGCCGGTCTTCAGGGCAACGTCGGTGTTACATCTCGAAAGAAAGTAATCATCAACCTCGAACGGTGCTGGCCGCCGTGGAACCGGTTTGCCCTGACAAAGACGGTGTTGAAATCCCGTTTGGCTCCTCGTCAGTAACACTGCAGCGATACCACCCCCCAGCTCGCCGCGCGATCGCCAGGAGCTGCCGGCAGTTTAAGGCGTCGGGACTCTTGGGCAGTAGACGGGGTGAGTGGTGTCGCCAGGGCGATGACTCGTCATAACCCCCTCCGGATGAACTCTTCCAACACGTTGTCGCTGACTTCCATCACTCTCCAGCAACATAGGTCGTAGAAGTCGCAGACTCGCCCTCGAGTAAGGACGATGTTGCCCTCCTAATCTCTGAGGAGGATTGCCCTGCCACCCCCCCCAACGCCGGGTCCGTGCATAGGTTCCATCGGAGGCTGAGACCGTCCACCATATTGAGGGCCTGGCTGCTGTTGGTGATATCTAGTGCCCCCCAACCCTCCCCATGGGGTTGAGGGTGAAACCCGTGACCCTGGGCCCCGCACCTAATTGAGGACCCGCCGCCAACGTGGGGTAAGGCCTGAGGATCTCGAGGAAAACCTCCTGGCGAAAGGATACCATCGCGGTATTGGAGAGGCCCCCTTGCATGTTGAAGGAAAGGGCTCCCGTAGTGGTGGCGTGGAGGACGTCCTCCTGACTGTTGAGGAAATAGTAGTCCTCCATGCCTGATGCTTACCCTGACCCTGAGGGGGTCCTCCTGGCTGTTAAGGTCCTCTGTGACCCCCGCCCCCCGACTGACACGTCGAAAAGAGATATACCGAGGTGCGTATGCTGGTGCCATAATAGGAGAAGAAACATAGACAAATCATCAACTGAACACACACAATTGACTCCAATCATGCTGATAGCCGCTGGATGCTCAGAACTCAAGCCCTCGAATCTATCCCCCCGTATATCTGTGTACTTGAAAACCTTCATTTACATCCCGTCATTGGCGTGTGTCAGATCCTTTGGACCTTTGGGTTGTGCTGCTGCTGCCGCTTCTGCTACTTTCTCTCTGCGTAACGCCGGTGGGTTTGCCGTGTGCCAAGATACGTATTATAATTTTAGTGACCAAGGGAAAACAGAGCCAGAATCAAACGTTCCGTTTCGGCGCAATATGGTTTGCTAGACTACGGTATGCTCATTCGATCGAATCTGAAAGACCCCGCATCATGTCCGGGATACACTTTCCGCCTCCTTGTAGCAATTTGGAGATATTTCTAGCTGTGCCAGTGTACGGCGCACTGGGGAGGGAGGAATCGCACCGACTCTGAATCCGGCCCGTGGACAGCGCTGTCGAAAACCAAAGTCCGCAGCGCCGATAGCGCACCTAGCTCTGGTGGAACTTCACCACTCAAGTCGTTATCGTTTATCCTCAGGAGTTTCAGCTTCTTCAGCTCGTCGAGCTCGGCATGAATCTGGCCACTTAGCTCATTGTTGCTGATGGCCATCTCAGACAAGTTCTTCAGCCCCCCCAGCTGGGGTGGAATGCAGCCTGTTGTTCGGGATTGGGCGAGATGTTTCAGGGTTGAGGGAACGGCTGTGCAGCACTACCATCGTCGTAAGTTGTTGGTGCTCGGCAAGGAGGGCATTCATATACCGCTCCAAGAAGCCGCTCCGAGATGACACCCCTGGACGAGGACCGAACCTGTACTTCTGCGATGTACATAGTGTGGGAGCCTCTACTCTACCTACATGAGGTCGACGGGTGCGCAACGGTGTGGCCACCTACCAGTCAAACTGCTGTTGCACAGACGCGAGAAGTGCAGCTTGTCGAGGCGCTCCAGCTCGGACGGGATTGAACCACACAGTTGGTTCTCCCTAAGAATGAGATCCGTGGCGCGTTTCAGGTCGCCAAGCTCCGGGGGGATATGGCCAGTGAATTGACTTCCATGCAACCACATCTCCTCAATGTTTGCTAGGCGTCCCAGTTCACTCGGGATGGGGCCGGACAACGCATTGGATTGGAGCTTTTTGTGGCGGTGGTATGGATAGGGGCATTGAGGAAAAGGAGGGATGGATCACGTGAAAAAGTGCAAACAAACGTCCAGCTGCCGTCTTAAGGGGCCTGCAATTTGTGATTTCCTGCCCCTGTTCGTTTTGCCTCGCTGTAACTGTTCGCCCCGGTGGTCTAGTGGTATCCTCGTTGTCCGCTAGTCGCAGAGGTCGTGAGTTCGAATCCCCATGAGGTGAAAAATTTACGACATGTGCGGGTGAAAGCGAAATAAATAGCTGACAAGCTCTCGTGAGTACCAATNTGTGTGACTGCCTCGAGGGTACTTGACCATTTTAACACAACGTGGTGCGATCATCCCCCTTGCGCGGAGCGAGGATTCTCCACCCCGCACAACATGATCTACTCGAACACCATTATGGTTACCGCCAAAAAAAAAACCGGAGGTAAAAAAAAAAAAAACGGTAACCTGGTTGCCCGAGTTCACGAAGTGAATTGGCTTGTTTTACAGCGTCTTTGCCAAGCGACGAGAGGCAGGTGGGGCATGAAAATATATAAAAAGGAGAAAAGAAGCCCTGGTGTTTACCCCCTCCTGTGTTTTGTTTGTTTGTATTTCTCCCATCATTGGACTCTGTCGTCTGCCCCTCTGGCCCCTATCCTCCACTTCTACTAGCTAGACGACCCAACCAGGCAGGGTCACATACAGGAGCCACCTGTGTGACCCTGGATGGTTGTAGTTGTACGAAAAAATACAC